TCCAAGGGCTCAAGCAGAAACGCAGCCCGCGAACCCCCCAAGCTGAGCCCTACTCTTGAGTTTCCAAGTGGCACAGACTGCAGTATCCCTGACATTTCCACTGAACACAAACCCGGTGTTTTGCTAAATGTTAATGGATTTCTGTGCCCTCTGCTGGCTGCCTCTGTAGCCGGTGCGCACTGCGGAGGCAGAGCCTAGCGACTGGAATTTTCCTCTCGCCTGAGAGCCTGTTTTTTCCCTTGCCGCAGAGCTGGCTTTGGAGGTACAAGTTCCAAAGTGCTCTGCAAGTTGCTGAAGAAGCCTTCCACTTAATATCCATACCAGCAAGTTTACAGGAAATTATTTATCTCCCACTTTGGGAATTATTAGTTCTGGATGAAGACTCTTATTGTATAAGGTTTGCTGAGAATTTATGAGTCTCTCTGGAATCCAAGAGGGGATCGATTCTCAGCAAGTAAACATTTTAAGCAAATTAAGTGTTGGTGGTTGTAATAGAAATGGTACCCACTATTACTCAGGTGTCTGCTCTGTGCCAGGAGTTCCATCTCTCCAATGGCAACAGGGGGCAAGTTTTATCACCCAAACATTTCACATAAAGAAACTGAGGCTAGGAGAGCTGCCCCTGGTTAGTCCAGCACCACACGGCTGGGGGCAGAGGCAGTCTCTAAACCACATTTACCAGGCGCAAGGTCAGCCTTTCCACTGACTGAGAGGTCAGGGTGGCAGGTCGTAGGGTCTTGACAGCACATTCTTATCTCATTGGTCATTCATTCCACCGATACAACAGGGTTGGAAAGGAACAGGAGGCCCATGATTACAGGGTAGGGGAGCTGAGGGTCTCAAGAACTGGCTTGGAGGTCACATAACAAATACAAAGTTTGGCTGGGGGGAAGAGATGGCTCAGTCAGAAAAGAGCTTGCTCTGTAACAAGAGGGCCTGAGTTTGATCTCCAAAACCCACGTTAAAAATCCAGCACAGTATAGGCAATGCACTTGTAATCCCAGCGATGGGGAGGCGGAGATGGCTGAATCCCTGGGATTCCGGCAGTATAGCCTGATTAGTGAGTTCCAGGCCATTGACAGTCCTTGTCTCAAAGGAAAAAGGTGGATAGCACCAAAGAAACCATACTGAGGTTATGATCTGGTTGTGGCCAGAAACACAGGTGCACACACACCAAAAAATAAAAATAAAAAAAAAAAAGGAAGGAGACATGGAACTAGAATTCAAGTGTGCCTATGCCTAGGGCTGAAGCAGAGGCCAGACAAGGCTGGAGGGCTCCATGAAGGCTAGCATACAACAAGACTTTCTATGTCGACAATGAAAGGCTCATGGCAGATGGGATGGGGTCCTCCTGCTCATCCAGTGTTCAGTATAGCTCCATGCAAGGTCGGGAGTCTCAAAAGTCCCCCCGGATGCCAGTAGAGAGGTGCCCTCTCCATGCTGAGAACACTAGGCTGATAAAAATCCAGGTGTATGATGCCGGGTAGGTGAGCAGCATCCCACATGACCTGAAGCCTTGCAAAGACATCTCTGCTCAGAGAAGACAGACCACCAGAGACCAGGGGGAGCCCAGGACACCTAGGGCAGTCCAGAGAGAACAAAAGACTTAGGCACACAGGAACAGCTCTATGACTCTGATGAGTGAGTGATATGTGGCAGTGGCGGGGGGGCACACCAGAGGCTGGAGATCCAGGAGGCTACCCCTCCATACTTCAGTCCCAGGTGAGATGTGCAGGCCATCAACTGTCACCCACAGCTTATATAGCTACTTTTAATTTATAATATTTTATTATTTTTATCTTATCTGTATGAGTATATCACCTGCATGTATTTAAGTGTACCTGTGTTGTGCAGTGCCAGTAGAGGCCACAGGAGGACTTCAGATCCCCTGGAACTGGAGTTACGGATGGTTGTTAGTCACCATGTGAATGCTGGGAACCAAGCCCAGGTCCTCTGCAAGAGCAGCCAGTGCTCTTAACTGTTGAGCCATCGCTCCAGCCCCAGTATGGCTGCTTCTTCATCTCCACTGCATTGGCTTCCAAAACAGAGGCCCAGCATCAATGACACACCTCTACAGGGCACAGCAGTGGGGAGGGTGGCAACTCCCTCAGGGGGGGAACTGGCCAGCTGCAGGTGGACACTGACTTTGAACATCCTGGCAGCCAAGTCAAAAGGAAATACAGTTGCCAATGTAGCCATCATCCTTGCTGCATCCGAGAGCAGATCTGGCATCTCAGGACTATTGTTTCCCAGGCCAGCATGAGGCTCACCTGAGTGGCATCCCTCCTAGGGATGAGGAATAAAAGGGATGGTCTTTCAAGTATCCTCCAAGGCCATCCAGGATACACCATAGAACTTCCCTGGAGCAGTCTTCAGGTTTTAGTGAGCCCAGAAAAGATACCAAGTGGGTCTTGTGACTCCTCTCTCAACTGTCCAGCATCTCCCCCAGCTTCAGTGGGCTCCCAGCCAAAATCTCAGACAACAGCAGCTGCCTCATGTTGGTTACCCCTCACCTCCGATTTGTCCAGCAACCTTAGGGCCTGGGTGTGGGGACGACCCTCCTCTAGAAAACACCCTTGGCTCAGAGAGATGAGAACCCACCCAAGGCTTGTGGCAGAGGCAGGAAGATGTACCCCAAGGTCTGAACTGTTCCCAGCCCTGTGCTCCACACAGGTGATTCCTGTCCCTGGTAACTGGAAGGGCCAGCTCTGTAGGAAGCCAGTGTCCTGTTCTTGCAGAAAGGGCTCCCTTAGTACTCCAGCTCTTCTCCAGTGCCTGGGCCAAGGAGGTTTCAAATCCTGCAGAAATGCTAAAGATACACTTTCCCTTCATTTCACTCTCTGTTAACTCCCAAAGTGTGAACAAAAACTCTTCAGAATAAACACTCAATGAAATGGCTCAAAATGGATCACTGAGCCAACCAATGGTGCCTCACAAACAGGTGGACTTACTCTCTTAGAGCATGTCATATGGGCTTGATTTTATGTGATTTGCAGGTTGTGTGTGTGTGTGTGTGTGTGTGTGTGTGTGTGTGTGTGTGTGTGTACCCACACGCACTCACAGTCCAGGGCCTCGTGGATGCTAGGCAAACCCTCACCCAAGCTACACTCCAGGTCTAATGCAGCTGTTGACAAGATCTCAAAGGCAGAGTCCTCAGGACCCAGGAAGATGTCCAAGTGACTCTGCACCAGCCCAAGGAAAATGGCACCAAGAGAGTTTGAAAGTTCCCTGACATCTAGCCAAGTGTCTAATTGAATTGGGGGCAAATGGAAATAGAGTTCTTATCCCCAAAACTGCGGGTCCCTGTGCCAGGCAGGTGGCCCTTCCAACAGCAAAGACTGCTTAGTAAGCTCCTGGCGAACATGCAACTTGGAGGGAGGCCACTTGTTAAGTTAAAAGGGTACCCATAAGTCACCCGCCTTCTGCACACCTCATTAGCTAAGTGACCGGACCCGATGGATTGGGGTTGTTTAATATCTGCCTATTGACTTTGGAGCACGCCTGCCAAAAAATAAGATCAGGGTTTGACATCGTCGATGCTGATGTACATTCTCCTGACTCTTATTTGTCAAACAGATGGCTAAGCCGGGCACAGTCACGTCGGTGGTGTAAGACCATCGTCAACATAGGTTGGGCCTGCTGTGACAGCAGGAAACAAGGACCATTAATTTGAAAGCTAGATCCGGCTGTAGGGGAAAGAAGGGCAGCCAGGGTACAATGGTGATCTTGTCCCCCCAAAAACGACTTGATGAATGACCAGGAGACCTTTACCACACATATACAGATTCCTGAAGTTGTGTTAGGGTTCAGGGCCCCAGAAAAATGTAAATGACCCACCAGGGGCAGCAGTGATGTGTGTCATCTCAAGGCCTATGGCTGTCCCAGGCTACAGCCTCAAAGGCGTGGATGGTACTAATGGGACGTAGGTTCCTTCTAGTAACAGATTGTTAGGCAGCAAGTAACTGTCCCCCGTTGTGCCTTTTAGACCATCGCACTTCTTCAAAACTTCAAGGCAACATTTTAAAATCAGGAGTTAAACTATCAAGAATGTCAGGTTTCAGCTTGGGGAAAGTTCTAGAACAATCTAGCAGCTTCTGCTTTGCCTTTCTGCTGGATCTGGGTCCCCATGCCCTCTTCAGTCAGTGGGCCGCCTCCTCATTTTCCTTGCTTTTCTCCTGTACCTGGCTCACTCAATCCCACAGCCAGCCCTGAAGGGCAGTCTAAGGTGGTATATCAAATGGGGCTTTGGGTTAAAGACAGGTACTCAGAGCTGGTCTGCTCCCAGGGAAAGTCAGGCGCTTAGGAATGTGGGAAAGGGGCAGGAGGGGCTGTAGGGACACTGGGGTTGGGGCCACAGGAAGAGGCTGCCAGCCTCTGTCTGCTCTGCAAGTACACGTTTGTCTCCTACACCTAACGCCACCTGTCTCCACAGCCATAAGGGTAAGAAGGTGTTCCCTTGGGACAATGTGTTTGGAGGTTCATCCAATCCCCCCCGGACAGACCCACCCCAGAGATGGCTCAGGCAAACACACCCCATCACTGGCCACAGAATCATTTAGCTGCGTAGCTTTGACAAACAAATTCACAACCCATGCTGCACAGGACCTCCCGACGTAGGCCGGTGCTCCGCTCTGCACGATAACACAGAGCTATTATCATTACTGCTATTACTTCTATTATGCCAGTGCATTAGATGGTCTCAGAAGGGAGAGATAATTGGCTCCCATCACCCCAACCGGCGAGATGGGTGCCACGTACAAAGAGCTCAAAATTAAAGCCTGGCATTGTCAGCCTGGTGGGACGGAGTAGATTACCAAAGAGACATAAAAACTCACCTGCTCCATCAACACCCTCCTAGAGATGGCTGACATGAGGACAGGCAATTTGGCATCTGATTCAGTCCCTTGTCTTGCCTGATGAGTGCCGTGGGGGCCACTGTGGGGTTGAGCTCTGCAAGGTTATCCCAGGGCAGACTGGGTAGGCAGAAGTGTCCAGGGGAACTAGTTAGAGGTCTTGTTGAAACTGGAACTGGTTTTATACAGGGCCTCTCTCAGCATCAGGTTGGTGGGGTCTTTGGTGCCTGACTTGGTCATCCAATAGAGAAGGAACATCTTGTGCGCACAATGTGGGCGCTTCAGGTGGCGTGCTATGCTGATGGGCGTGTCCCCATTGGTGTCGCTGTCGTGGATGGAGGCACCATACTCCAGCAGAGGTGCGATGCAGTCTACCCTGCCCATGGCTGCAGCCACATGGAGGGGTGTCCTTCCCAGTGGCGATTTCCCCAGGCAGTCTGCACCTGTGAGATTAAAAAGACCCTCTGGGGTGGGCTGTTCTCCCTGCCACAAGCCCTACCCTCTGACACATATGTGCAGCAAGGAAGGGGCCATGGCCATGGCAGGGATGCAAGGGGGAGCTGATGCTTGCTCCCAGGAGTACTGTAGCCCACCTTAGTCCAGTACTCCTTCCCTCCAGCCTGGCCCCTTGGGGTACCTGGTGGTCTTGACAATCTTTCATTGCAAGCTGGTCCCTGCATCTTGCTACCTAGGATTACTATTCTCGATCATTGCAGGTATGCCTCAGCCACTCCCTTAATTACTGTAACACTATTCTGCCCCCTCCCTCATTTTTCCCACTGAGTCCTCCCCATGCCCCCCAACCCCTGCTTCCAAAGTCCCAGCTACACCTGCCTTCCGTCTTTACTCTTAAACACACCATTCTGCACCCTTCCTCAGGCCCTCTGCACATGCTGTTCTCATTACACTTAGTGACTTCCTGTACACTCTACACACTCCATATTAGCTCAGTAGACAATGAGTCGAAAATATCCCATATGTGACTGGCCACAGACTTATTTGTAATCATTGGCTGGCTTTCCCATCAAAGCTCCACGAGGAAAGAAACACACATGGTTTGAGCTCTGCTGTTTTCATCCCTGGCATGTAGCTCAAGGCACTGGGGAGGCGATGGGTCACAACCTGAGCATGGACAATCTGGATTCTCTCTACCTCCTGCAGACAGATGGGCTAGCATGGACTTGTGGAATTGAATCAAATTCTGAGTAACAAAAATCACAACACACAGAAAACAAAGCAATTCAATTCAACCCAGCTGGTACCGCAGCTACGGTACATATGAGCCATGACTGGTTGGCAAGGGCCAGGCCTTAAGTAGGTTCCCAGAATGCAGGTAACCTCTGCAATTCCACCCTGCAGCGGCTCCAGAGGATGGAAAACTTTGCGAAGCCTGCCATCATTTTTTAACGGGTACCTTCAAATACATCATGGTTCCATCAGGGTGAAAATGACTTTTTATGAGCTTAAAGGACTGCGGAGCTGTTAAAGCCCATTTTTCATTATATGAGGTAACTGCAGAAAGGTGGTGCAGGTTGGCAGAGAACACGGTGTGTCACCTAGCCCATCCCCCAGGCTCTATGTCAGGGACACCACATGCCGGCATCCTGCCCTGGAAGGCCAAGGTGTTTCCTACCCTGACAATTGACAGGGCTGAACAAGATGCAGGCAAAAGAGAAGGGTCCTTAGTGGGTGCAAGGAGCTGGCAGAACCTTCAGGAAAGCATTCCTGAGCCCTAAGCCCTGGGTCACATGCCAGGTCACTTGCCATTTTTTTTCCTCCTTTTTTTCAAGTAAGGCGTGGGCTGTCTGAAGCTGTGATCTGTTTCTAAGTGGTCTTGATCTCAAGTGGTGGGCACCATGTCCTCAACCAGGAAGGACCAAGGGGGCTACGAGAGTCTACCTTGACAGTGCTGACTGGAGCTCTGCTTTCTATGGAGACAGACAGATGGTCACTCTTTAGAGGGGCAAGAAAGCAGAGTTTTGGATGACCGTCTTCCTGAAGATTTATTTAAAAGAGCATCCCCCCAGTCATCCTGCTGGCCAACCATGAAACTTTGAGGCAGACCATGTGGGGACATTCCCAGAAAGAGATGTGGCTGTCCCAAAAGGACAGCTAGGAACCCCTCTAGCTGCCCCATGTCTTGGCACCCTACAATTTCAGTCCCACCACAACAGAAAGAACTTTCTAAGAACCTGACCCAGAGAAAGGCACAGCCTCTGAGGGATAGGTCCTAAGGGGCCCATGCCCAAGGAGTGCCATGGGGGGCAAGCTTGGTGAGTGACAATTCTGGTGTCCACGGAGCCACTGTTGAAGAAGTCAGGGAGGCAGAGCAGGTTATGCTTTCTGCCAGAATTACCAAGCTCTAGAAGGTACTTCACGGCTTCCTTGTGGCCTCTGTGGGCGCAGATGTACAAGGCTACGAATGCCCTCTGAGCTGTCCACTTCTGCCATTGCTCATCCTTAAAATTCTGGGAGTTTGCTGTCCGGTAGAAGGAGTCCTCGCTAATACCAAGACATGAAAGCTGGCCGAGAGAAAGAGATCAAGGTTGTCCATAGAGCATGTTATATTGCATGAAGGGGACACGTGTGTGTGTGTGGGGGGGCATGTTACTTGAGCCCAAACCAAGGTGCACAGTGGCAGGGGCACTGACAGGGGATACTGTTCAGCACACATTCAGGAAGTGCGGAGTTACCCTCGGTCAGCCTGAGGATGCAGGAAGGCCTTCCTGCCAGTGTTCTGAAGGGAGAAAATAGCTTTGCTCATGCCCAGAGGAAGGTATTTGTGACCCTTTGGGAAGACATCAGCTAACATGACATGGCCCCCCAGAGGGAGCCCCAGAAAAGGGGATGTCCTCTTGGAGTTGTGATGGATTCTCCCCTTCCGATCTATTTCTGTGCCCATTGTCCCTGCTAACTTCTGGAACATTCTGAACTCTGCTAGCAGATGGACAGCCCATCGCAGAATCAACTTGATATGATATAGCCCTTCAAGTGCAGGAGTGGGTTGCGGGAGCCCAGAGAAGACTGTGCCCCAGAGGTCTGGGTGAGGCTGGGGGGCAGGAGGGACACTGGGGGCCAAGTGCAGGGAACACAGGGGACAGCAGTTTAGATTGGTCTCAGGCAGAAGGAGACAGTCATCCTAGTTCAGAGCAAGAGTCAGCAAGCAGAGGCACTAACTAAATTGCCAGGGCAGAGGGGAGACTGGTAAAGAGAGGAGCCAGAAAATACGCCCTATCTGCAGCTACATAGACCTCGTCCTTGCTGCCCGGGCCTGAGGCGTGTAATACGGGAATTACCACCACCCCACCTCCCTGGATGAAGCCCAGCATCCCTCCTACACCCAACCTTCCCTTGACCCTCATCCCACCAGGAAACTGCCTCTTCCTCTCCAGGAGCTCAGAGCTCTACCCCCAATGTCTTCTGAGGAAGGAGCTCACACTTGCCCGTGCCAGCCACACATCTTCATGGATGGGTAAACATCCTGGTCCTTATCCTCCTTCCTATCCCACCTCAGAGCCAGCGGGAGAGCCCAGCAGGAGGTCTGGCAAACAGCTGGAGCCTGCTGCTGTGCGGGGAGGGTGGACATCCCCCCACCCCCACCAGAAGCGACAGAACCTCTTGGGTACTTTTACGTGGTTGCACACCATGCAAAAGGCCCTGAGCTCTGGGCTGACGCTCCTTTGGCATTCGCTAGTGTTAACTTTGATTTTCAACTTAAGCAACACATGGGTAGAATAGTGCCACCTGGGCCCCTCTGGGGGTGGAGTAAGCAGGTTTATAAACTGTAAATAAGGAAACCCAGGGGAGTTGCAAGCTCAGAGTAGAGTAACTGGAAAACTGAAGTCAACAGCCTGCACTTCTCTGTTCTGAGGCCTTCATTCAAATACCCATACTAAGGACGGAGTCCCCCACCTTTAATATATGGTTGCTTAGGATGATACTGAAAGAAACACGAGATCACCTTACTGGGGTCCCCTTCCACCGCCGCCAAAACCAATTCCGTCCAACCATCATAATGCCAGATAGCCAATGAAATGATTGCGCCTGGGATGACATCATAGAACTTCAGGGTGGCATCATCCATCAAAATTCCTACGAGGAACAAGTTTTCCTTTTAAAGAATTGGGCTCTAGAGAGAAGCCACCACATCTGACCTTGAATCTCAGAAAGAAACTTTTTAGAATCTTGAGCAAAAAATAATCTTTCAGCTGATGGTTGTGCAGGAGCCAGGCTGCTGCTGCTGCTAATGCTTTTAGAAAATTAATTTGGCTCAGCTTACATAGAAGCTGGACCCCCCTACAAACAATGGCAATGATTTATAAAATTTTGTAATTACAGCTTGTCCTGTTGGGGGAAAAAATACATGAGTCAGTGAAATGGTTTTATGAGGCAAACTCTACAAATAGAACTACTTAAATTTGAGCTATATATCACAGGCCCGACAGTGTACTTAGGAAAGTTCTATATGTTCAACTGAAATACCCACTCTAGGGAATGCTGCCATTAGCTGGCTAGAGAGAGGCCAGAAAGTGACATGAAGGATCTTGCTAATGGCAGCCACATTAGGTTTCTCCACGTCAGCACTACTGACATTTTGACTAGGTAATTCCATCCCATTCTATACCACCATAGCCTGCCAGTCACACCTGGAGCTAGCTCATTCAGTCAAGAAATGTTGCCTAGACATTGCCCATAGGGGGGACAAGATGGCCCCTCTAAAGGCCTATGGTCATGTCAGAAGTGAAGATTGACGCTTGATGTATTTGAACTTGAGTGTCAGAACTCTTGCCTGACCCAGCATAGCATCTTAAGAACAGTAATCTACCACCACTTCAGAAACACAGGCTTAGCAAGGCTTGGTGACACATGCCTGTCAATCCCAATACTCAGGAGCTGGAGACAGGAGGATTAGGAGTTCAAGGTCATGAGATCATCTCAAAAAAGAAACCCAATAAAATAATAATAAGCCCAGGTATGGTCAGAGCCAGTAGCTGGGCATTACATAGAGAATATTTTTAAAGTGCAATGCTATTTTCCCTTTTAAACACACACACACACACACACACACACACACACAAACACACACACACACACACACACACACCCTCATGTGGTTGCCATCTTAGGATTCACAGCTGATTTGACTTAAAGTCTTGGCTCTTTCCAGGCTACACCAGCGACCCTCCCAGGTGAGCGGAATCTGGTTTCCTGATGGAGTGACTGCTTTAGGTCCATGTGCCTGTACTTGAATGGTAGGTCCTTGAACCCTCACGATGATCCTCTTAACTTAGGTGGCTCTCCCTCTGCTGACAGCAAACCGCGTCTAGGCCAAACTAGGATGTGATCAAACAGCCTCCTGCCAGACTATCTGAAGACTGTAATCTCAGGAGTACATAAAGAACACTGGTCAGTGATTCTGTTAATTAGGGTCTTATTTGTGGATTGAATGTGGAAGAAAGTCCGCCATTAGTCTAAGACAACTTGACCCTCTAACAGCTTTCTAAACACAGAGGAGAGCTGGGCTCCACTAGCTACCCACTTCCTGCAGATCCCAAGCAGAGCCCTTTGTAGATGGGCAGCCACTACCTTGGGCTCAGACAAATGCTAATTATCACCAACTAAATAAATGACTGGCACTGACACCAGACGTACAAGGATGCCCCTTGCCCATGAATTAACTTGACCCCTTTAGACATGGGCACTGCAAGGTTTAACCCGCCATGATCTCACATGTTCCTCCCTCTGCAGCCTTGGAGGTGGGCAGACATGTTGGCCAATTATTTACAGGTGGGACCCAAATCCCCCCTAGCGACAGAGCAGCACCTTGTCTCCGCTCTGCTAGCCACAGTCAGGACAGTACAGCATAAGGGGTCAGGCTCCCAACAGTTGCTAAGTGACTGCTGAGTGCTGACACTGTAACATCAGTGTGAAGTCATCCTACCTCTCATTCCCTCTTAGCTTTCTTGAATTTATTGCTCAGCCTGGCTCATTGGTGAATATAAATGAACAGAAAGGCTCCAGACTTTTGTAGTTGAGGTGGATACATAATCTTCAAATCACTTGTTGGGGAACAGTTACTCAGTCTCCCCTATGACTCACCTCATCTGTAACATGTTAAATACAGACTGCAGCTCTAGACACAACTTCTTGCAATAAAGCTTCAAAAAAAAAAATCTAAGAGCAACTTTGAACCAGTTCTATAAGAAAACACATGTGCCATGGAGAACAATCACCTACTGAAAAAAGTACGGAGGAAAGGAGTTTTGGCCTTGCCTACACACTGGCAGTTTGCAGAGTCATTCCTGTCTACAGGGGAACGGCACAGGGAATTCTACAGCTAATGGGGCTCTGCTTTCCGGATTAGGAAACTGAGCCCGGGACAGGCTACGTCTGCTAGCACTAAGCGTGGGGACAGGCTGCTCTCAGAGCTGTCGAGCTGTCTCCCCGGCCCTGCAGTACTCCGCAGTGTCTCCGGGATCCTGGCTGCTCACATTCCCCCGGCAGCAGCCCAGAGATTTTTTTTTTTTTTTTTTTTTTTTTTTTTTTTTTTTTTTTTTTTTTTTTTTTTTTTATCTTCGTTTTCTTGAAGTGTTTTGCGTTGATTTCCATCGGGTGGGGAGATGATGAAGCCCAAGGGGCTTTGATCCTGTTCTCATATCCTAAACATTGTAGGGAACTGGGATAGGGAAAGCCATGTCCTCTGGTTGAGGGAAGGGTATGGATATGGAAGGAGGGACAGGTGGGCTATAGACTCTGGCCTCCCCCATGGGGTTTGTTTACGTAGGGAATCATGGGGGTCCTGATTCAGGACAGCTGCAGGTACTGGGTTCTGGTTCTGATTGGGCTCCCTCCGAGCCCCTGATGTGGGAAAGGACACAGCTTGGAATTCAGGGTTCAGATACATATTGGGTTAGTGTCAGGATTTGGGGGTCCAATCATGGATAAGGTCTGGTTTGAGTTCTGGGGTCCTGATGAGGGCAGAATTTGCTCAGGATTTGGGGTTCTCATGACAACAGGCTTGCTGTCTGGTTAGCATCCTGGTTTAGGAAGGATCTATGAGGGGATTTGGAGTCCATGCATGGTCTGGACTCTTTCTGGGATTTGGGGTTCTCAGGAAGCCCTAGTAATAAACAACAGAGTTAGGAATCAGGCAGCTCTGCTCTGAGACTTAAAGGTCTTAATAGTGACAGGATCTGCTCCAAGTTGGGGTCCTGATGGAGGCAAGATTTAGTTTAGAATTTGGGGTTCTGATGTGGGTAGGTTTAGCTAAAGACTGGAGTTGAGTTTGGGGGTCTTCATGAGGCAAGGTTTGTTTTGAACCTTGGCTCCCTCACAGAGACACAGCTAGCCTCAGCTTGGGAATGCTCATAAATATGATGTTCATGAATATTGGGGGCTTAGAAAAGGGTAGGCTTGAGTGGTGGGGGTCCTCCTGTGGGCAGATTCATTTCATCCTTGGAACCCTTAAGAGGACACTGGGCTTGGACTAGGGTCCTGCTGTGGCCATGAGGAGCTTGAGGACTAGCTTTCAGATGGGGACAAAGTTGGCTTTGGATCTGGGGGTCCAGATGGGGGCAAGGCTCACTTTGGGGTCAGGCATCATTATGTAGACTGGGGTTCAACAGCACAGATGATTGGTGGAAGCCGGGGGGATTCTGAACTGGGTGCAAAGGCTCTGGAATGATGTGGGCGGAGTCTGCTCTGGGATTTAGGGTGCTGGGGTGGCCAGGGGAAGCTGGAGGATTTGAGGTTCAGACATGGCAGTGTGTGGACAGCCTTTGGGACCCTGAGATGGGCATCCTTGTGTGGACACAGCTGTGGAGGATCCCAGTCCTGATGGTCACATGGTTAGCCTGGGGACTTGGACTTGGGGCTCAGATTTGGTCAGGCTCGCTCTTGTTTGGGAAGTCTGAAGGTGGGTAGGGTTGGTTTTGAACTTCAACATCCTCATGTAGATGCAGCTGCTAGAGGATTTGGGGTTCTGAGGTAGTAATGGCTAGCCTGGAGATTTGGGGTTCAGTCTTGGACATATCTATCTTGCCTTTGGGGATCCCAACGTGGGAAGCATTTGGTTTAATTTTGACACACTTATATGAAGAGGATTTGGGGTTCTGAGGGATGCATGACTAGCCTGGATTTTTGAAGTTCAAACTTGGGGTTCAGGTTTGTTCTGGGTTTGGGAGTCCTAGGACGTGCAGAATTTATTTTCACTTTTAGCATCTTTTTATGTACACAGTTGGTGAAAGTCTGGGGGTTGCAGTAATGGGTAATATGGGAGATTTGGGGGTTCAGTCTTTGGAAGATGTGTCCTGGGTTCTTGGATAGGCAAGTCTTGTTTTGAATTTTAGCATCCTTGTATGGATACACAGGAGTCTGGGGGGTTCAGTGGTAGTGGTTAATGTGGGAGATTTAGAGGTTCATCTTTGTTCTGGGTTTGGGGGTTACAGAATGGCATATTCTGAGTTTTAGCATTTCTTTGTGGACAGTTGATAGAAGTTTGGAGGCTCTGAACAGTTATGGTTAGCTTGGAGATTTGGGGCTTTAATTTGACCATGTTTGCTCTGGGACCTGAGAGGGGGGCACAATTTAGTGTTCAGCTTCCTTGAATGGACATTGCTGGTAGAGGGTTTGTGCTTCTAAGCCTAGAGACCTAGGCTTCAGTCTCTGCCAACTCTGTCCTGGTCTTGAGGGTCCTGGGAAGAGCAGAAGCTTATTTTGAGTTTGAGCATCTTTGTGTGGACAAAGTTGGAGTTTCGGGGTTCTGAGTTAGTCATGGCTAGCCTGGAGATGTGGGGTTGTTCTGGGCAGGGGTGCTCTGGGTTTGGGGTCCTAGGGTCAGTAGGATTTGTCTAGCCTCTGGTATGTTTGCATAAGCAGGCTGGCTAGAGGATTTGGGGTTCTGATGTTTTCAAGTCAGCATGAGAACTTGGGGTATGCTTTGAGATTGGGGTTCTCAGAGGGCTAAGGCTTGCCCTTGGTTTGGGGATTCTATTAAGGGCCAGTTTTGTTTCCGGTCGACAGTCTTCTGTAGACATGGTTGTCTTGGGCACTTGGGTCCCTCATGAGGACAGAGCAACTTCAAAAGGGATTGGGCTGCTGGGAGGATCTTGAGATTTGGGGTGCTGAGTGACCAGTACTTGCAAGGTTGGCAGGTGCAGCTCAAGACAGGCAGGACGCTTGTGGACAAGGTTCACCTTGAGATTTGTCTGGAGTTGGGAGACCCTGAGTGGCCAGGACCTCATGGAGCTCTCCTAGTTTGAGGTTTGAGATGGTTGGAGTTGACCTGGACACTTGGGGACTCAGGGCAGGAGAGGGGCCCCTGAGTGGAGGGGGCTCGTGGGGTGTGGAGGGGAGGAGGGCAGGGGCCACCTTGGTCCAGGAACTTCAGGAGCTGCAGGTTGATGGGGATGCCGGCCATGAGATCCAGCTCTTCCTTCAGCTCCCGCACCGTCATGTCAATGCGGCAGTTGGCCACGCGGAACATCTCCCCGGTCTCCTCCAGCCGCACCCGCAGGGAGAATAAGTCGGGGGCCCAGTTTGGAGACTCGGTGGCGGCCCGCGAGTCCCTGGCCAGGCGCTTGCCCCTTGAGTAGGCCCGGCTGGGGGTCTGCCGCCCGTCCCCGGAGCGCCGGCCCACCTGGGAGTCGGGCCTCGCGGCGCCCCCGGGGGGCCTCCCGGGCCTTGCACTCGCCCCGACCACCCCCGCCATCCCCGCCGCCTCCGCCCGTCCGCCGCAAGGCCCGCGTCATCCTGTGGCTGCACCGCGCGTCATCCCGCCCCCGCCAACTGTGATGCTGGAGCCGGGACCGCGCAGGGCGCCCGCGCTTCCGGAGACCGACGTCGGCGACCCCAGCCCGCTCCCCCTGCCGTCAGCCTCAGCTACGAAGCTTTCCTTCTTTGTTCAATACAGCCTGCACCTGGATCCACTCGAAGTCACCCCGGCATGCACATTGCTTACAAGATGGTCTCTGGGCAACCCCCTCCCCCCAGGGGCTTCCAGCAGAATGGAGAGAAAGTGGCACTCCCTATAGCCTTGGGCCTCTCTGCAGGCAGCCTAGGCTATGCTGGAGGTGAGAGAGGCCTGCTTCTAAACTAGCATCAAACCCAGAGCACTCCACTCTGAACCCACCCTTGGAGGGAGAAAGGTTATGCAACACACAAGATTGGCCTAGATGGCCCCAGGCCTAGGATGCTTTTCCAGGGAGAGCTATTCCACGGGTCCCCCCGCCAGTGTTCAGGGGAGCAGGAAGCTTATGTCGGGGTGGGGGCAAATACCAGACCCCAGCAGGGAATCTGACAATGGAAGCAGAGGCCAGGGAAAGGGCAGAGATCCCTTCAAAAACTGTTACCAAGAATAAAACAGAAACTTTACAAATACTTTTTGCATTTTGCAGAGAAATTAGTCACAAAATGGACTTTGGTAAGGCAGAGTGGCCCATGCCTCTTATCCAAGCATTTGGGGGTAGAGACAGGAAGATCAGAAATTCAAGGTCATCCCTGGGTATGTCAGACCTTGTCTGAAAATAGCCACAAATGGAGGGGTGGGGGGTTGTATTGGAGGGACAGTCATACTAAATGACAGCATTAATGTGAATTGGAAGTGTACAGGTTGGACCAGTCACTAGTCTCTACAATCTTTGGCTAAATCTTACAACACTTGGGATTGAACCCATGATTCCACCCATGTTGGGTAAATTCTCTATTACCGAGCTACCATCTTTATAAATGTTGTGACTTAGCGTCCAAATTCCACCTCAGAACACTGGCTGACTCTGTTCTGTATAGAATGCAAGATTCCAGTTGAATCACTGTCCTTGTTGCTAGATCAACAGATTTTGATACAATCTCACTTCTAAGCAGTAAAAAGCAAAACACAACAAACTTACTTTAGGCACATAGTAAAGGACTTCTTTTTTCCTTTTTTCTTGGCCAAAGTTTCCTGAATGCTACTGGGGCTTGTGATTTGATATTTTCACACACATCAAGTTCTCTTTGGCATAATATAGACTCTCAATGCCTTCCTTTCTTTTAAAAGAACAAGATAATGGCATTCGGGGAGGGGGGTATCCTGTACACCAGGAAATTCAATATGTAACTTCACAATTGAAAAAAAAGTTCACAAAAAAAGATCGAAGAGGAAAGAACAGCAGTCCCAGGCTCTCTGCACCAGTTCCTGGGCCCCGTGGGCTGCTCTTCCTCCTCTGCCACCTTTGCCAAGTTAAAAATTAGAACCACACAAAGGAACAGACACGAATGTAGAACTTAATCAAATGTTTATAGAATACAGGATTATTAATGAAAAATCTGTTTAAATTCTACTATATCTTTCTCTTAGTCTAAAATTTAAAAGTATGAAACCCATGTTCTAAGTACTTAATCCAACCTGAAGAATACATAATTTAACTCCCCAAATCAATGTAATTTGTGTGCAAGTTCTGTTCAGAATTATGGTTTCTTTTTTGTTGAGTCTAAAGCAGAAGTCGATATCCATGCATCTCAGCGATAACTCCCTCCCAAGCTCTTGAATGTGACAATGTGCCCATGTAAAGATGAAAACTCTTTGGACTCTATATCTCTCCCAAAGGACAACACACATCTTTATGGAAAGAAGTAGGAAAAGGGTGAGGGCTGGAGGACGTTTGGGGTACAGTTTATAACAATATGACACCAGATAGACGGCCATAAACCACTCTTTACTAGGTTTCTTTTACTATTACATTTTTCAAAAGTAAACAAACCAAGCTATATTTCCAGCAACTCCAAAGTGGGCCATAAATTTAAGTGACATTTGCTCAGCTCACTGATAGGAGGCTAATATTATATTCATACATTTTCTTCCTTTCAGGTTATTTACATATGTACAATACTTCAATTGGAAATAAAATATAAACCAAATTTTATCAGAAAGCATTAGGGAAGCACATATGCAAGTCTAATAAAGACAAGCTTCTAATAACCTGTTTTATTGCTGAGAGGGACTTTATGTTCAGTTTCTTTGGGAAGGAGTCTTGTTATATATAGCTCAAGCAAGCCTGGAATTCTCTAGACTGACTTGAACTTCTTGATTCTCCTGCCTCAGCCTCCTGTGTACTGGGATTACAGATGTACACCACTATACCTGGCTCTGAGGAGGGATTTTTAAATAATAAAGTGTCTTTTAAAAACAAACAAAATCCTACTCTCCACAATCTGATGGCGTGGAACCTCAACAGCCACCAACGGTGCCTGGGCCTACACCCTTTCTATAGACTGCCACAGATCAGATCTTTTTGGGGTAGGGAGCAGGAGCTGGTCTGATCATCTGAAATAAGATTCCACCTAAGTTTTAGTCCCTTTGGCTGCACACGGTACTCAGTCACATGATACACAACAGAAAACTTTTGGTTTTTTCTCCTTCGGCAATTCTCAGTTCCCCTTCAAGTTATAAGTCGTATGTACACTGCGAAACAGCCATGCGCATTCTTCACAGAGGAGTTAGTTCTGGTTTTCCAGTATAGTTGTGTCTGTAACATTCTGCCGCCTTGGTTCCAGGGTGGCTAAAAAGGAAGCATCTTGGTCTGGGTCAGACCACAGAGCCAAGATGGGCTCTTCAACAACTTCAAGATGAAGGTCCCCAGCATTTCTAAATTATGCTACAAATAGAAAAAAAAAAGCTGGAGTCACATGTGCCATGAACTGTGTTCTAGAACATGTTCCAGTTTTTTATTTTAAAACCCAGGCCAAGACAATGAATCATGAAGTCATACACTAAAGTCCTTTAAAATGATGAAATGCCTTCCAAAATATTTCTGGAATTTTGAAGACAGATTCCCAGTAGTAGCACATGTTTTAAAAGTTACACTAACTGAACTTTTAGATATTATCTTTGTTCCAGCAACAGAGAAAAACTGGCCACGTGTGGAGAAGAGTGGGCAGTGGGCATAGCAGGATAGGGAGAATGTGGCCAGAAACGGACAGGCAGGGAAGAGCTTAAGCTGAGTCCTACACTGTGCCGAAGACAACCAGCTTGGGCACACAGCTTACATTCGGTCTTATTTCGGGCTTAAAACAACTATGTGGCTGGGGTTATGTCTTCTTACTGACTGCAAAATAAAACCACCGCAATGCAATGCAGTTAGGCAGAGGTTGGCTTCCTTTCATGGCCTTAACTCAAGATGGATCATTGCCTCTCCCTTTCTAGAGGGCTGTGTAATATTTCGTATGCTTGGTGCATGTTTATTAAACAAGATTGAATTATAATCATTTCCTTAGCTGTTTTTTTTTTGTTTGTTTTTTCAGTCTTTTTGAGACAGGGTCTCCCTGTAGCCCCAGCTGTCCTGGAACTCACTATGTAGACCAGGCTGGCCTTGAACTCACAGAGATCCACCTGTCTCTGCCTCCTGAGTGCTGGGATTAAAGGCGTGCGCCACCACGCCTGACTGGCTGTTTTATAAGTAACAAATATTACACAAAAAATTCATGCCACAGGTCTCGAGTTTTCTGCCACTCAGCTGGTCATGGTTTCCTGGGGGACCTAGGTGCCATCTGTCACGACTGGGGATAGCTATGAAGAGAGGTCAGCAAGGCCCACACACCCTTCTCCAGCAGTGTTTGCCACAGGGCTTCGGCCAGCAGAACTCTCACGTTGGGTACAGGATCCAATGCCAGGCTAAGAAGACTGGGAAGCAGGTGTTCCACAAACTGGTCCACGGAGATGCACTCCTCACGGATCACGGCCTGCAAGGGCAAGAGCCAGCCGCAGCCCAACGGTGACTTTTCAAAAATTTTAAGCACCCATACTTGTATAAGTCTAAAGATGTCACTTCTGAATCTCTTTGGTTTTAGAGGCATACACATGCTTGTGTGTGCACATGTGGGTGTGTAAACTTCAGTGGTTAAGTTTTATAATTCACTCCAGGGATTGTTTGACAAGACGTATAAGAGGTAAACACGGGCTTTGGAGTCAGATAGATACAGGTTCAAAACCTCTCTTGGTCACTGTGTGGGCTTAAGTAAGTTGGGTAGCCTTTCTGAGCCTGTCTCCTCAGTGTGCGGTGGAAGATTCTTTATGCCGGTCGCCTAGCACAGTGTCAGCACACTACACATGCTTGGGCAGCAAGGACTGGTTCAGAACCTTTGTCTCTATCCAAGATAGGGACTGGCTACCAAATAAACTTAATGTTGGCCCAGACACGGGCCTAAGTGGCTAGTGAGGACACCAGCCCAACCTCAGGTGTCTATGAGTGGCTGGTCAGGAAACCAGCCCAACCTCAGGAAGTCTGTGAGTAGCTGATCAGAGCTCTGGCCCAGGCCAGGGCCTCTGTGAGCAGCTGGTCAGGGCTCTGGCCCAGGCTAGGTCCTCTGCCCAGGCTAGGGTCTCTGTGAGGGGCTGATCAGGGTGTCTACCCAGGCTAGGGCCTCTGTGAGGAGCTGGGCAGGGTGCCTACCCAGGCTAGGGCCTCTGTGATGGGCTGATCAGGGTACCTGCCCAGGCTAGGGCCTCTGTGAGCAGCTGGTCAGGGTGCTGGCCCAGACTCGGGCCTCTGTGAGGGGCTGGTCAGGGTGCCTGCCCAAGCTAGGGCCTCTGTGAGCAGCTGGTCAGGGTGTCCGCCCAGGCTAGGGCCTCTGGCAGCTGCACAACTCTGCTCCCACAGCATCCGAACACAGCTCCCCCACTATACAGTGTGTGGATGCTCCCTCCTCCTTCTCACAACTGGCCCTGGATAGCAAAACTAGCCTTGTTCTATGGATGAGAAAATTCTGTGTGGTAGGAACAGTGACAGGCTCAGCACAGCAGGTGGGTGGAGACTTCAGCTAGGTGTGTGGATTCAGGTCCTGAGGCTGCTCCCACGGAGGGCAGCTGGGGCCATGGCAAGTGGCACCACAGCAATCATGCTAAGGATCATCAAGTGGGTTCTGGGTGCCACCCGTGTTCTAGGCAGCTGGCCTGCGTCAGGCTACACAGCCCAGAACAGCACAGGAAGGGTGCACACTACTGTACAGAGAGGCTGGCAGGCCACTGGCAGGGAGCTCCCACCCAGACAAGCCAGGTGGGTCTCACTCCAGATCTGTCTTAGTCACCCTGGAGAAGTTCCCTCTTCCCAGAGCTGTGCTCAGACAGCAATTAGAAAGACACTCTGGGGAGCACTATCTGCTCAGCACCCTTCCTTTGGTTTGCATTTACCTGGATTGTCTACATGTTTAAACCAGCAAGAATTAAAAAATATATATATTAAAAACAAAAACAAAGAGATCTTGCTGGCTTTTCTTGAATAAAAATAGACTGGTATTGTTTCTTGTTTCTTGGAGGTTTTCTAAATTCGGGATAAAGAATTTTAAAAAAATAAAAGGAAAAATATTTCATTTCTGCTTTTGCTGCAAACTGATTTGGAATACTGATTTTTTTTCCTCCATAAAGGCCGTGCGATGGAAAAATACCAGGCAATATCCCGGCAGCCCAATAGGGGGCGCTGGAGAGTCCTGTGGCTGAGGTGGTTTTTCAGGGAGAGGAAGGGTACTGAGGGCCCAGGGTCTGAGGGAGGGCTCCATCACAGCTCTGCTGGCCGTTAGCACAGCTGAGTACCTGGCTCCTACCTCCTACGGGCTCCTAGAGATGGCACACCATCCCCTTTACCTTTGCGGTGCTGGAAAAGAGCAAGATGAGATGTCAAAATGCTTAAAATACCACTTGGGAGGGAAAAAGAAAACAAAACAAAGCCCTGGCTTTCCACTTCCTGTGTGATCTTGATCACATTTTTAACCTCTCTGGGGGCTAGTGTTTGTCTAAACTGATCTTTAAAGGTGAAGGGATATGCCATTGTGTCCAACCACGCTCAATACCCCAGCAGCTCTTAATGGAGAATTCGATGTGTCAAGATGGTGGGCATTCCAGACACACTCAAGAGGCACTCCAAAATGGCTGCCATCGTCACTGCCACCACCCCAGTCACACACACAGCCTCGTGTCCAAGGTGTAGACATAAGCCCTGCCCCTGGTCAGTCTCCTGCAGGGTGAGGAAGCTGGGCAAACTGATCCCCAGACTGCACAGTGTTCAAGCTGGTGGCTTCACACCATCCCAGACAGAGGAACAGCCTGGCAGATTCTCCCCCAGCTTTGCTAACCTGACAGATGAAAGTGAAAGCCTGCCTTCCAACCCACTTAGGGCAGTGCCGGAGCCTGGAGATGAGCTCCTGGATAAAATTCAGCCCCAGAGCAGCCTTGCTGCTGGCCTAGAACTTGTCCAGGATCCCCACCACCTGTGAGAGAGAGCCAGCATGAGAGGCTGCCCTCCCTGTAAATTATGAAAAGTGCTGTGCACGGAAGCATGCTACTGTCATATACCCTTCCCACCTCTTCAGAATCAATTTACAGACACAAGAGAAAGTAATTTTTTTCAGTTATCACTGGTACACAGAGAAAAAAAGATGTTTAAATATATGGTAATACATACATGTACATAAAACTCATCATAAAATGAAATCAACGTGGAGATTAACATTAGAAAAATGTATCCTGAGCCTTAAGGTTCCCATTTTTTAAACATATTACCTTGTGGAATAAGTAAATTGCTATCTTTCAGGACATGCCATTTTTATAAAATTTTAGTACAATCAGAGCATCTTAAAATCAATATTTTCAAGTGAGACTGTCTCTGTGCAGCTGGCAAAAGCCCTCTTAAGACAGGATCGGCTTTTCTACGAGCCTGATCACTGAGCATTGTTCTACAAAGCTGTGGAGTATTAAAAAAAAAATCCTACTTAGCTATTATTTAAAAGGATTCATATACGAAATGATTTGTGCACAGTTTTCATCATGAAAGCATACAAATTAACAACAAAAAGCTATCCTGAAAAATTGATGAGACAATTCAGCTCCTAAATGCAAATTTCTAAAGCTGGGTTTGGAGGGGAAATGACAAATTAAGCCCAGGGAAAATAATGAAGGAGTTAAAATGGGAAACAGATAAAGAGTGCTATTTACAAAAAAATGAGCAGTGGGAAAGGGCCAGTTCCTTACTAGCTTGAAGGAAATCCAGAGAACTTCAGAAACTTTGCACACAGCTTCAAGGCAATGTGCATTAGGTGATCGTGAACATCATTGGGGTCACAGAGCTCCAGAATCAGTACCAGCTTTCTGCAATTATAAAAAGCACAAAAATTATTTTGGGGGTCCAAAAACCACGTTATGAGTTTCTCTTTGCTCTCATTCCACCACCGCCCCCCGCCCCTGCAGCCATAGAAACACAGCCAAGCCGGGAAATGAACAGCCCCGAAGACCTAGCTCGGCTGGAGATGCCGACGGCTGCGGCCGAGAGAACCAGCCGTGGGAAAAATGCGTGGTGGGGGGGAACAACAACAACAACAACAAAAACAAACAAACCTGAGATGCGTGGGAAAAAAAATCCATCTCCCTTACTAAGCGGGCCGAACGGAAAGGAAATAAATTAAACTTTGTACAACAGGGGTTGAGACATTTACGGACACGGGCTTAATATTTCAACGTTGGGTTATCGGAGGAAAAGCACATAAAACTTTCCCCTCAGCCATCAGATAACGTAAAAATAGCGGCTGTTCCCAGACGCGCCGAGCCGAGCGGCCGAGCGGTGGAGCTAGCGGGAAGGCGGCCGCCGAGCCAGGGTCCGGGTCGCACGACGCGCGGGTCTGCCAGGCCGAGCGGGGCCGAACGGGGCCGAACGGGGCCGAGCGCCCCGGGCCCAACGAGGGCCGAGTGGCCGAGCGCAGCGGGGCCGAGGGGCCGAGGAGCCGAGGGGTCGCCGCCGCCGCCGCCACCGCCGGAGCCCGCAGCCCGCAGCCCGCGCTCGGCGAGGAAACAGACCCCGATTTCCGTGCGGGCGCAGAGGAAATGAAAAAGGGACGGGGAGGAAGTTGGCGGCACGGGAGCGGCCGGCGGCTTCATATCGAAAGCACCGTGTGCAGAAAAATGAGAGCAATATCGCGTGCACGGAGCGCGGCGATCTGATCCCCGGCCGCAATAAGCGGGCAGAGATGGCAGATAGCGGTCGGGCCGAGCCCAGCCGGGCCGAGCCGGGCCGAGCCGGCGGGAGCAGGTTGAGGAAGCAGGCGGCAGCAGCTACGCTTGCCGCCGCCAGGGGGCGCGAGGCCGCCGCGCAAGGCCCGGGCCTGTTTTTCTCAGGTCTGCAAGAGTGCGCTGAGAACAGGGCATAATGACTAAACCTCAGTCTCTCAAATTAAGCATAATGATTAAAGCTCACAGCGAAGAGAAAATCTTCCAGTTTGCCCCTGGCACCGGCCAAATCATACCCTGAATAGCTGCGCAAGCCTGATGGATTTCTTCGGGAAAACAGTTATTTGAGAGATCACTAGTTGTGGATAAGAAAAATGGAAACTAAAGATACAGAGATGAATCTCAACAAGGTGGAAACAGCATCCCACAAACAAATCCACTGCACGTCACGGAAAGGACACTGTCCACCTAGGAAGGGGGGACATGTGAAACCACATTCTCTCTTTCATAACCGGTAAAACCTAGAACATTCCCCGGGCTGGCACCAGATGGAACTGAATGAGCCCTTCATACAGGCATGATGGACGCAAGGGAGCCTCCTTGGGGGCTGTTTTTATTTAATAACTGTCTCATCCCGGATGAGACATTTTCAGACCTTGATGCTGCCTGATACGCTTTGGACGCTTAAGTACATACCGTACCCTGCACCCTTACAGAGACGGCAGCACTCAGAATGTTCAAGAAGGCTTTGCAAAACCGCTCCATTTCATAGGAAAATATTGAAGAGTGGGTGATTCATCTTTTATTTGGTTCGAATAAATTGCCTTACAGAACAGCAGAACACTCCAATTCCAGAGTGCCTCTAGTCCTGTCTTCATCTGAAAAACGAATGCCTCCCCAGAGACAGGGGGACTTATAAGTCAGAGCTTTGGAATTCAGTTTATACCTTAATAAAAAACATAATCTCTTTATCCAAAAGAACACTATTACTGCTGGTTTTGAAATCAATTATAAAGTAGGGAGATGAAGCCTTGTTCCCTGTGACCTGCCTTCTCAGGTCTCCAGACAGCTCTGACTCACTCTGCTAGTTCATATCGAAACCTCCGGTTCCGGCTGCTCTCCATCACCATGAGTTCTTGAAACTGGTAAAGATACTCTCCCCTGTCCTCATGGAGCAACTGTTGTTAAAAATGTATACATAAGTGAAAACATTTAAGTCCCCAAAGTGACATCAGCACCCCCTTTATCTGGCTTCTGGTTGTATGTTTGTTATCGGCCAGAAGCCTGCTTCCCTCCTGCCATGCCACCTATGGCCCAGGGTGGCTTAACACAGCTGCTGACACCACCCCCTCACACACACACACCTTCCCCGCGGATGGGCGTGCTGTCCTAAGCCCTGGGATTTGCCCCCTTTGTGATTTCCCACCTAAGGAGGCATGTCTGTGGGCTTAACAAAGGTCTGCTGCCTCGGGGGCTGAGACCACAGATCTCCATTGGAAGGGCAGGTTCTGAATGGGGCCAGTGACCAGGAAAGTCCCCTGGGACACCCTGGGTCACGTGGCTGTGGCTAATGAGTTCCTCTATGTCATTTCTAAACTCTTATTTTTATACTCATTGTTCCTTTAGGGGAAGGAAAAAAAAAAAAAAAGCAGCAGCAGCAACACCCTGCAGAAAAGGTCTTCAGTGCGGGGCTGAGGTTGGACCTAGAACCAGCCTCATCCTTCAGAGGGACATCTGGGAAGTCAGGTCACTCCCCAGGGACCTTGGTTTTCTTCTGCAGAATGTGCCAGACTGTCCACCACCCTTCACAGACCCACAGCTCTACAGGGTGGGGGCAGCAACAGAGGTATAAAACCTTGGCTGAAGGAAAGCAGATGCTAGAGTTCCAACTGCAGAGTGCAGGGTGAGACAGCGATGCTCCTGCTGTTCTCCGACACCTGCAAATCCCAGCTCATCACAACCGACTGCAGAAAGAGGCTTGTTTCTTAACCCTCCTCCCTCCTACCTTTAGGAAACCATACAGATGTTTAAGAACTCCTATGCATCCTTCATCCAGATCCTTTAAAAATCCATTGAAAATGGGTAACAGGTCAGCTGCCGTCAACTGATCCCCGAGAATCAGTGAACAGAGAAAGTGAGGGTCCGTCGGACCTTCCACTAGGGGTGCACAGCATACACATGAGTCAACACAAGCAAGTGTAATTCAATGTTCCCAGCATCTTATATGACAATTCCTCCGAGGCCGGTAAACATGCCGGCTCACAGCCACATGAGTGTCAGGTCAACAAGCTGTGTGGCAGTGTCCCCGAGCTCCTACTGAGCTGACACCCTCTTTCTGCATGTGCCTCTGAAACGGTTTCTTTTACCTGAACGTCAGAAGTCAGTGTTTCCTATGTGTGCTTCAGACAGTACCAGTTCTGCCTGCTGAGGGTCCGGGCCACCCCAGGGAGGCTGTAGGCACAGTGCTTGGCTATGTCAGTATCTACAGTCTGGGCTTGAGCTGGGTCAGTCATGGACATGAACTAGTCCAGCAGAGGCTGAGGGATTAATGTCCTGGGGAATGAGAGAAATGAAACCATCATGCTCACACAGAGCATCAAAGCCAGCAGTGTGAGGAGCAGGGCTGCAGCCCGGAGACAGCAGCAATGCAGAAGCTGTACAAGAGGGAGAGGCCTTCCTAGAGCCGAGTGCACAGTGTCTCCCACCCTGACAGAGGTGTAATCAGTGCCCACAAGTCACCTTCTCTAGAGTGGAAATCCCGGAGAGCAGTGTGCATGACACAGCATTCTAACATGGAGAGACATGTCCTCTGCCACTGCCTCCATCATAACACGTCCTCTGTCTACACTGGCCTCTGGAAGAGCAACGTGCGGTGATAATTTAGAGCATTCAGGGTGCTTTATATGGCATGGGGGACCAACCATCAGACAGTAGGAAGGTAAGCACGGTTCGACAAATGGCACTGACAACGTTTTGGACACACACACACACACACGAAAGCAATTGTTCTAAAACAATGTGAAGACATTTTTCCCTCTTGTTGGTAAGCTTTATTACAATATGACTTTAGATTGTTCAGAAGACTTTGAACACTATTTCATAATTATTTTTAAGTGAGAGGGAAAATATTATCAATATAATTGACTAAGACAGATAATTAATACTGACAAAAGAAAAATACTTGGTTCCAGTGGCCATTCTTAAACTCAACCTTCAGAAAAATATAAAGCTTGAATTGCTTTCCTTTTGTTTCAAGGAACAAACCTGTAATTTAGACTTTTTCTCCTCAAGTGTGATAGGTTTGTGCCTCTGCTCAATCTCTAGATGGTCACTGGTTTCATTCTGGGGGTCGCTTGGATCCTGCAGCGTTGATTGGACAGGTTATCAATATACACCAAAAGAGGAAGCAGTCCTCACCCATCCCCATCAAGGAACTCTCCTTCATACCAGAAAGGACAAGAGTAACTTCTTGAAGCCAACAGTGTCTGCTGCTGACATCAGAAGCTACCTTTGCACAGCTGCAGGCATGGCACACAGCCCAGCCCCTAAGTGCTCAGGAAAAGGGATCTCACACAGGTCAATGTCAAGACTGCCCCAGGCCCTTACAAAAGGCCATGTTTAATGTTACTGTCAATGAGGCCCAATAGCATGGCTTACAGCTCCTAGTTTCTAAGCCCCAGATCTTCTTTGTGTGGCTGACCAGTACCCCAAACAGCTACAGAAGGAAGGGTGAAGGCGTGCCAGAAGGGCAGAACAAGTGCCTGCAGCTTTCACTGGGCATCAGAGAGGGCAAGGGAACAGAGACTCTTAAGAGGGGTATTTACTCAGTAAACTGTTCTCGATTTTCACATGTATAAACACTGCTAATGTTTGTTGATGAACCTTTACATTAGGTTAACAATTAAAATGAGCAAGAACATTCAAGGGTGACATATTGGTCTCTGATCATTGATTAACATTAACTCAGATGGGCCTGACCTTCTCCTTCAACCATAACGTGGATCTCCAACTTGTACTTGAAATGTCACACTGTCTACGGTCCTAATGGATTCTGACAAATAGGCTCAATATATGATCCAGGAGTCAATTAATACCCCAATAGCTGTGTTTGTTCTGAGCTACCAGAACCCTAACTCCCAAGGTCAACATAGTAACGCACGATTTGTTTGAACAGAAAACAAGAGGAAAGAATTAGTCTGCTATGAGACCCTAAAGCTTCTCTTGGGCATGGAGCCTCAGTTTCTCCACATTAATTCCCATGCACTAATAAGATGTGCCTGTAGTCACTATGATCTCTTCTGGAAGTAATTCACTCCAAGTCTTCAGTGAGGCCCTTCTATGTATCATCCACTCAAGAGCTAAGTCAAGCTGGAAGTAAACCATCCCATGCCGACTTCAACAAGTACTGAGAGGTCATTTCTCCAAAACAGCCCCAGGTGGGGCAGCACACTGGATGGTGCCTACCTAGGCACCCACAGCTCACTGCCTGCAGCCCCTCTCCAGGGGTGCCTCCCTGTCCAAGCTTTTGGACTTTATTTCTCCTTCTGCAGATGAGGCCCCTGGCTGACCTCATCTGAGTCCTAGTGTCAAGTTGCAAATGTACAAGTTTTGCCATCTATACCACGGCTGAAACCTTTCATACTGTACCTCAAAAGATGCAGTGTGAGTTCGAGGCCAGCCCGGTCTACATAATGAGTTCCAGGACAGCAGGGGCTACAGGGAGACCCTGTCAAAAAAAAAAAAAGAAAAGAAAAGAAAAGATGCAGTGTGGAAAGGTCGCCTACTTTTTTTCAATTATGCCCAAATACAACCATGCTGCCATCAAGGTCAACAGCAAACCCTTCCTACTACACACAGGCTTTATACAGGCAGGTGACAAAGGTGACAAGTGAGTTTTCTTGGCAATTTTTTAGAAACAAGGCAGCACAGGATAGTGTGTCATATCTTACTAATCTCCACATAACACTCAACAACTCGTAAGCATTTTAGGTTCAGATTTGTACAACTCGTGTTTTATTTGAACAGGCTTAGGGTCAGGACAGTAAGTGAATCACTAAAACCAAATTATAAACTGTCAGCAGAGGAGCACTGGGAACCCCAAGACTGTCTGCTTGCAGAGCCTGCTGGTCATGGTGCAGGGCAGTGAAGAGGCACCAACTCGCCCAGAACGTAGGCGATGGGAGACCCCAGCTTAAACTGGTCCGAGTGCAAGCTGAGGAGGAGCCAGGAAGGCCTAAGAACCCCAATGACAAGCAGTTTAGGAAACTTCCAGAGTCTCCGGTAAGAAGGAACTCCAGGCCTTCCAGCTAAGGTCCCACATCTCAGACTCCGGACTATAGGATGGAAAGTGGGCAACACTGGCTTTTCCAAGTCCCCCCTCCAGGAGGGACCAGCACTGAGCAGCCGGGTAGTAAAGGATGTCTGTGAACCAAGGGGCCAGACACACTCATCACTCTCAGAGGCCTTTGCCAACTTTAAATTCTCAGAATTGCATGAATTCACCCTCTGCTAGTATTAAAGATGTAAACGACTGCCAGCCGTGACACAGGGCATTTATACCATTAATCCCCCCAAAGAACCAGTGCCTGTCATCTTCGAGGAGCAGGGAGGGGCTTTCTCGTGCCCACCCTGTTCCTGTGGAGGGGATTCAGGGTGATCAATCACCTGATTGATTGGTTGTCTAGTTATCCAAAACATGACCTTAAGAATGAAATGAAATTTGCCATTTATCTTCTCTGCAGGGATGTATTAATAAAAGCAAGCGCGGCTTTGTGATTTTTGTCACATCCTCGGTGGCTGAGGGATAGGGCAAGTACTTACTGTGCTCTGCAATATCCTGGCCACGGAGAGCTCATTCAGAGATGATGAAGCCGACAGGGCGATGTGACGGTCAGAGACAGAGCTGGGATCTGGAACGACACTTGGCTTAGACCTTCTGTTGGCTTGTTCTCGGGCTCACTGTTGGAGTCGAGCCGTGCTGCTCTCAGGGCGGCAGATAACACCTGAACCTGAGCTGCAGGGAGAGAAGCCTCAAGAATTTTAATAACGCTATGGGGCTGAGGATATAGCTCAGGTGGTAGAGCACTTGCTTAGCCTTTACACAATCCTGGGTTCCGTACCCTGCACCCATAAACCAGGTGTGATAGTGCATACTTGTAGTCCCAGCACTTGGTGGGGGTGGGGGGTGTGGAAGATCAGAAGTTCAAGGTCATCTTCAACTACAAAGCAAATTTAAGGCCAGCTTGGGCTACATGAGACTGTTTCAAATAGATAAATATAAAGAATTTTAATAATTTGATGTGACTTCTGGGCTTACTTCAGAGGTGTGCAGCAAGCCTCAGTCTGAGAATGGGACTCTTCCCAGACACATGCGCATCTCCCCACAAGCTGGGGAATGCACAGTAAATAGGTTCTAGAGTACAAGATGAGGTCTGAGCCAGGTGCGATGTTGTCCATTAACAGATCATTTCAACTAAGAACAGCCGTGTACATACAGAACAGGACAACTGAACCAAACGCTTCCACAGCTCAGTCAGTTTGACTCCACTATCTTGCACAAAAAGATGAAGTGGAGGTGTCTAAGTGTCCCAGTACTTGTTTATAAAACAGGATGGCTACCCCCCACGACACATGTCTCTTAAGTCTACACACTGGTATGTCCATCCTTCCTTTCCCAGTGTGACTACTTGAAGGACATACTTCACATATTTTTCTCCAAAAATAAAGCTATACATTTCCATGTCTCCAGCCTCCCAAAACGCACACATTACTCCCTGTGTGCTATTTCCTACCAATAGAAAGATTCATTAAAACGTTTAGGGCACAGAACTGGCTCCACATGTGCTGGGTTAAGTCCCAGCTCCCAAATTGCAGAACACCAGGTCCTTCACAATGGCCAATTCACAAGTAAAATGTGTCTGACTCTGGGACTTAGTGACCCTTGAGCCTGGAGGAAAGCTGAGAGTCACTTCTTATAGAGAAAGTGAGTTATGCAAATACATGCAGGATGTTGCAAACAATGGCGTCTAGAATGCAGCCCTGACCCCCTGGACTCCAGTTGTCCTCTAAGCCTGGGTCAAGTGCCACCTCTTTACCAAGTCTTCTCTCAGACATTTCCTCTGTCCCAGGAGCAACCAGCTTCCTTCCCTGTGCTTCTGACACCCTTCATCAGCCTCAGCCACATGCTGGGTACAGCCGCCTATACAACCCCTGAACTAGATGGACCTCAAGGGTCACTACTGGCCAGCCCCGCTCAGGTCCTGATGCTGGGAATAAGGACAGCTCCAGTAATGTGCTTCTCAAACCAGACCTTTGTCTACAGCCATTAGAAGTAATATACTGCACGCGCCCATTCCTTTAGCAAACATTGATTTAATTTCATTTCCAAACTAAGGACAAAGACTAATCATGGCTAACTGGATCTTCCCATTTCCTTTCCCGAAAGCGCCACAAATCTTTGCCCAGCAAAAGCAGCAAGTGTTGTTTTCCCCAATTTCTCCGACTCAAGAAAGAATACAAATATAGCTCAGTTTAGAGTGAAGAGTCATGATTATGGATATGGACCACAAGGTCCAGCTCCCAGATCAGATGCTCAGTGGGAGCATCAGTCATAAAATGAAGAACACCCCAAAGAAGTAGTTGCACTCTTCTTAGCTGTATGAAGACGGAACCTTAGTGCTCAGCGAAGGCCTGAGCTAATGGGTTCCAAAAGGAGAGCTGCCCCGAGCTGCTCATAGGGCCAGATGGCATGTGACGTGAGAAATGATGTCACCGTTCCTGGACTAATAAACCTTCTGCCCCAAGCACTGTCCCTTGTTCTTTCAGGACTGCCTCCATGGTGTGCACACCACGTGAAAAACAAGAAGGCCTGAGCCTCACACAGGATCCACTTGGAGACACCCAACTGTCCTGAACCTACCTCTCCCTCCAAGTGCTTACAATGCCAAGACTGCACAGACACAGACACACACACAGACACACAGACACAGACACCCACACAGACACACACCCCCGCCACACACACACAAAACCCTAGCACAAGAGCCTGAGGAAGAAGGGGGCAATACCATGGGATCCACGACACACAAATGTCCTACTGTCTCTCTAATGACTATAGGCAACCTTCACCTTGAACGTCCAGATCGCCCATCATAAGCTCCTGCAGATGCAAGACCTTCTGGATCTCACTCCCGGCCACGCAGCTGTTGTATGCAGCCTCAGGTCTAACGCAGCCCTCGTCCTGCAGCCCAGTCTCACTCAGAAGCAGCTCCACATCTTTGCTTATGTCAGGCAAAGGAGTTCGCCAATAGAGGACGTTACTGAACGTGTCCTCAGAAGTCCCTGGGCCTGGTTCAGCGTAGCTGCTGCTGATGTGGTCATTAACATCGGAGAGCTCCAGGAAGGTGCTGTCATCTGGGGAAAGCCTGGCTGGCTCAGCTCTGACTGAGGAAGGGCTCCCCGGCCGGTTTTCTGTTCTATCTGTGGAACAGCTACTGATGTACAGATGACTAGTTTCTGGTTCTATGCGCACTGGCTTCCTGGAACTAGGTTAAAGGGAAGGAAGGAAACTCTCAGCACCAAGGAGCAGTCAGGAGAAACAGAAAAGGCAGAAACCAGCACCAGTCCTGACTGGCTACCTGCCTCATTGTGGTAGCTTTCAACTTCCCAGGTGGTTAAGACTGGAGCCAATTAGCACCCTTTACCCCACTGGGAGAAGGATGCACTGAAAATACCCCATCAAGTTCAGCTAGCCTTCCACAGACTATCAGTACCTCCACCAGGGGGCAGGCTTTGGAAAACAAAAGGCTCAGAAGCTGGGAGGAGCTGGCTAGGAGTGAGCCTCTCAGAAAGTCTTGATGAGGAAGCGGGGCTCCCAGGGGATGGAGCTTAGCAGAAGTTCAATGCATTCTGGAGGAGGGAGGAGGGAGGGATGAACAGACCAATCTATAAAGGATTTGTATGAAAGGTGTGAACAGGCCACCTACTCCCACATCCCACTCCTTGCGTGAACAGGCCACTCACTCCCACATCCCACCCCTAGTGTAAATAGACTACCCCCTCCCACATCAAACTCCTAGTGTGAACACACTACTCACTCAGACATCACACTCCTGGAGTGAACAGACTACTCATTCTTGCATCACACTCCTAGTGTGAACACACTATCACTCAGACATCACACTCCTAAAGTGAACAGACTACTCACCCCCGCATCATACTCCTAGTGTGAACACACTACTCACTCCCATATCACAATTCTAGTGTGAACAGACTACCCACTCCCACGTCACACTCCTAGAGTAAACAGGCCACTCCCTCCCACATCCCACTCTAACACTGGAGCCATGCTGGTGAGCTACCTCTAACTGGTCAGTGCATACCCACCATCCTCAGAGGAAAAGCATGACAGACCCAAGGTCAACCACCATACTAGGAGAGCACCACAGGGTCAACACGGGGCTCAGGGTTGGAACCTTCATGTACACAGAACATCCCATGTCACAAAAGTACATCTGGAAACCTCACCTTTTTCCTATGTAAATTATCCAAAGAACTTCATTAATTAAAAAGAAAGAAAATTTTCTTTATAGGTTATTTAATCACCACTCTCAATGAATATTTTATCTAAATTGAGGAGACATGGTAGCTTCATTATTTATAACCCAGTAGTCATGTTTCAAAATCATTATTGCAATTACTTTTTGCTTCTTTACATAATTAAAGCTCTAATATTCCATCCTGCCCAGAAGGTCACTATCACTAAAACTCAAGATGAGGTAATTGCTAGAGTTCTAGGGAGATACTGGAGGTGAGACAGGGCTTCTGCCCAGCATCCTGGCTGCAGTTTACCTGGCTGAAGAGTGGGTACTGCGACTGCCGGGCTCAGGTGAGGTAGAGGCAAAATCAGTCTCCACCTCCTGGTGTGGAGGCCGGATGCTCAGGGTGCCAACCTCCCGAATGTACAGGCCGGCCCTAGATGGGTTTGCAAAGGTGGAGATGAAGGGGCCAAGGGACTGGAAGGCAGCTTGGCATACCTGGAACAGTGCAGAGAACACAATGTCGGCCTACAGCAAGGACCAGCAGTGACCTCAGGCAGAAACAGACACTGGCCCAAACATGTCTGCCTGGGTTTACTTTCCAGATCATCCCCGAAACCCCAATAAACAGCTTTCAACAGAATATAGATCTTAGTAACCCCTAACCCCACGGTTTAGTTTTCATAATTCTAGAGTGTTGATTCCACAAAGAACAGCATCAGATGTCACAGAGTGCTACAGGAGACCTTCATGACCATGCCCAATACACAGGCTTACAGCAGCAGGGGAAGATGGCAATGCAGGTATGGGTTTTTCTTCTCAATTCTAGTTTCTATGACATTCACTCTCCACAAATGTTCAGCTGTGCACCTCTTTCTTAATATTTATGCTGACGTTTCTGAGATTTTAGTTACCCTAATTTTGACCTCACAAAGTCTAGATCTGACTACGCCCACCAGTGGTTGAGAAAAAAAATGCCTGAACACAAGCAAGAAACCAAGATGGAAGTTGGAGGCAGGGGAGGCCATTGTGGCCAGCAGCCCTGCCTGCACTCACCTATCAACGGGGGTCACCGATGAGCCTGATGAAGAGAGGTGAGAGTTGGGTCCTGCAGGCCTCCAGGGAGGTGTTGTCGGACACTCCGCACACGCCTTCCATGTCCCCGACATGTTATCTGAGCAGAGCTCAAAAAATTTTGGTACCTACAAAACCAAACAAGAAATAGAGCTACTCCAATCTGAGCACCTTGAGGTTGGCCAGAACCTGTCCCAATATCTGTGAAGGCAGAGCCAGGAGGCAGTACAAAGAAAACAGAAAAGAAAAGCTCTCTCTCTAAAGGGATCATCTGAAGCTAATGGGAAGGAAGACAACGCACGGCTCTTGCGCCGCCTGCCGTTAAGTGACCTGGGCACATACAGGAAGGTAACAGAGAAAACACCAAAAGAGCAAGACTGACAATGGCAGTCCCTTACAGGAGTGGGGAGAGTATGTAAAAGATGAACTCAATCCAGAATATAACGAACTCGGAAAACAGAATCAAGACAGGAAGTAACCCAATTAAAAGATGGGCTAAGGAGCTGAACAGAGTTCTCAAAAGAAGAAGTAAAGATGGCTATGA